CGAGGAAAAGGCCAGACTGGAGGATGAAGCAGCCGCAAGCATTGATCCCAGCAGAGCCCGCGACCCCCGAAGTCTAGCTCCTGTGGCGGGTGTAACGATAGACCCATTGCGCTGCGTGCGAGCCCGAGATTACTTTGATCTGCACCTGCCTCATTCCAGTGGCCAAAAGGTAGATTGCCGCGCCGAGCTCCTGCTACGCGACGATGCTGCTGGACGCGGGAACAGTGGCGATGTTCTCATCTGCGAAGTCGACAACACTGGCCGCTGGCTGTTGTTTCCGCCAGTTCAACTTGGTCGCATTTCTGCTCGGAGCGGCGACTCGTACAGTGAGATTGTGGTGATGATCCGAGGCTATCATTCGGGTGGACAAGAGTGGCGGGAGTTGATGACTCTACGTACAGACAACGAGCAGGCTGGGCTCGAATGGATACAGATGCTCGGACTGAATCCCGTTCCACCAAAACTCCCGCTGGAGAGTTTCGCTGGTAAAGTTGATGAGCCTACCAGCAGCCATCGGTCCCCTCTGGTGACATCTGCGGCTACAGCGTCAGCATTGCCATTAAAGAGTAGAACACCGAGTCCGCGAGAGATCGAAGTGCCAATTGGTGAGCGGGCGAAGGGTACATCAAAGCAATGGGACATTGAGGCCAGCCCTCAAATGCAAAACATAGCGTATCCTGAACTCTCTACCTCTTCACCGATTGTACCAACAAGCAGAGAGCGGAACAGACTACAGAAGAAGCCGAAGAACAGCCCGGCCTCTCTAAGTCTGCCCATCGAACTGGACAGTAACCAGAGCGGCCAATCATCATCGCTTCCACATCCAACGGTTGACGAGGCAGAAACGAAGTCGCATGAAGAGACAACTCCTCGGAGCCTCAACGAGGCCATGAGCATGGCAGGCAGCAACCCTCCATCTACTCTCAAACGGACTAAGGCAAAGAGGTATAGAGAATCACCTCGCTCTCCAACTTCGCCGGCCCAGATCAGGCAGCAGTACTTCGACCAAGAGCTAATGACGCCTGAGCTAAAGGAGCCCATTAAGCCTAAGCATGCCAGTACCCGTCCGCCATTGTCGCCGACATCTTCATTTCTATCCGACACCAGCCAGGGTTACAGCGTGTGGTTCCCACCATCGGAGCAGGACGATTTGAGCGAATCGGATGAATCGGACAAGGATCACCACAAGAGACGGTCTGTTCCGGTGCCACCTTCCCGACCAGTTCTCCATCGTCGGGCTTCATCCGTTCCTTCGCTAGATCTTCCAACGATACCGAAACTGCGGAAGTCAAGTCAGCCGAGTCAATCCCTAGATAACTCAGTCACCGTGGATCAGCGCGCGGATTCTGCACCTGTAACGCCAGTCAAGGAAGCCCCAAGCTCAGCTCCAGCAAGATACCACAAATTACAGAAGAGATTTTCAGCACCACCAGAAGCAAAACCCGACGCACCCAAACAAGAGATTCCTCCATCTCCGCCCCCTCACCGATCCGCAAGTCCTGTACAGATTAATGGCTCCACCACGCCACAGTTCACTCCAATTGCGTCCGCAAGAAAGGTGCGTCGCCGATCTTCGTCACCATTAAAGCATGAATACGAGCCCTCGACCGCTACCGAATCTACTAGCGAAAGTGAAGGATTCGCATCAGAAGACGAAGGCTCTATTACCTCTGAGTCTTCTGAAGATGAAGTGTTTGAAAACCAGAGTACACTTGGACCGTTACCCCCACTCGAAGCCTTGTACAAGCTCCCAAGGGTGTCGCCTCCTGTATCTATTCCCAGCCTCCCCAGTGGAACCTTGTCGCCTTCACAATCAGCGTCCCAAGCTCCGTATCGCACCGTGCCTCAGAATCGCGAGAAAGCATCCACCGCTATTGCAGAGATTTTCTCGTGGTCCGACATGGGCATGTGGGAAGACCTGCATCCGGGCGAATGTAGAATCGTCATCACGCCTGGCTTAATCGAGGCATATGAAATGAATGCCACTCTACCCAAATCGTCAGTGGTCGATGGCGCCAAAAGCCAGCCTAGCAGCTCCGACCGTCCTTTAGTCGCCCTCGAGCTTACCCCCTCGTCCCACTCCGTCGCGGCACAGCTCTTGACATCTCCATCCGCTCGCCTCCGACCTCAAAAAGCAAGATTCGCACAGGGAACAACATCATGTTCCGCTCCCGCTCCCCCGAAGACTGCGAAGCCCTCTACGCGATGATTAACACCTCCCGCATCAACAACCCGACCTACATGGCCCTCCAGAACGCCCGCGGGCCCTACGGCGAGAGCAGCTGGGCAGCCGCCATGGACCGCCGCAACGCCTCGCGGTCCGACTCGAACGCCGGCGGCAGCACCGCAGGCAGCAGCTGGTGGCGCGGCTCGCTGGGCCGCAGCAAGAGCTACCGCGCGACGAGTACGCGTGCGCCCAGCATCTCTGTCCAGACAGACTCGTCCGTCGGGACCATGGCGAGCGCCTTCTCCGCGCTGCGGAAATTCAGCAGTGGACGCCGCCACTTCAGCATCGCTAGGTCGACGATTTCGTCGCGTGAAGGGAGCCGCAGCACCGCAAGCCTGGAGACTGGCTCGGGCGGTTCGGGCGGCTCCGGGGCTCGGGGACTAGCACCCCGGCGGATGGCATCATGGTTGGTGGGATGGGCATCTCGAACGCGAAGATTCGGCTCTATGTCCGCGAGTCACAGTCCAAGTGGCGGGATATGGGTTCCGCGCGTCTGACTATTACACATCCGTCGCAGCAGTCCAGGACGTCGGGCGCGGCTGTGCCGGGGTCTCCGGGGCAGGGGCGAGGCAACGAGAAGAGGATTGTGGTGCTCGGCAAGACGAGGGACGAGTGCTTGCTCGATGTGACGTTGAGCGAGACGGCGTTTGAGCGCGTCGCGAGGACGGGAATTGCCGTCTCGGTGTGGGAAGATGTCAAGGGTCCGAATGGCGAGATTGGGACTGTGGGGGCTGTTGGTGGGGTCAGTGGGGCGAGAGCGAGGGTTTATATGATACAGGTTTGTCATCTGAATGGTTTCTGACTGACACAGTGCTGACTGCTTTGAACAGATGAAGAGTGAGCGTGAGGCCGCTTATTCATTTTCACTGCTTGGAAAGCTCCGGTATTGAGCGTACGGCATAACGGGCGGTGTGGTATCACTGCCTATCCACGGACCTACTTTGTAACATTGCTTTGTTTTAATGTCTCTTTTTATGGTATAACTTGCTCTCATAGCGTCTGGCGTTGGTGGCTATCGTGTCTATACCTTGGCTACACATACGGACGATGGGCGCCAAGGCGTCCGCAGTACTCGGGTCCTGTATATCATCACATTGACGGCGCTCTGGTCGGACCTTGCTCATAGCATGGGGAGCATATAAGTGTCACATCGTAATCTAAGGTAATATACAGGATGCTATTGAGTTTCTCTCGTGACAAATTAATCACACTATCAGCGAACCGTAAAGTCTGCCGAGAACCACGGATGGTCCGTATACATCATACCACCATGATCCGTGTCCTGGAAGACCAGACTGTTCATCGCGATAATGTGCTGCACATCTCCGTCGCCCTTCCGCGTATACCCATTAGGCACGCACAGCTGCACATTCGTCGAGCTGCCCTTGTCATACTTGAGATTGAAGTCCCCGCCCACAACCGTCTTGCCCGCCGCCCCGCTCACAGCCTTGAGGTACGGCACCGCGTCAAACATGAGCGCCTTGCACTGCGCCAGCGCCGTCTCCGACGGCGTCGCAGCGAGGTGCGTCACGCAGCCAAAGTGGTCGCCCTCGGCCTCGGCGCAGGCAAACGTGCGCGCCTCGTTGCTGGCCGCCGCCTGAGTTGCGTACTTTCCACCATACGCCGTGACGCCCTTCCACTTCGCGGCAGCGACGCGGCCGATGACGGCGCTGCCGTAGAAGTCTTTGAAGCCGCGGCAGCGGTAGGCGGTATCGTTGCCCTTGTAGAGCGCGGGCATGAAGACGGAGTAGGTGTAGTCATCTGGCCAGGCTTCCGCGAGCGCAGGCTGCAGATGCTTTGTCACGTCGTTGAGGCAGATCTCGTTGACGGTGACGAGATTGGGGCCGGTGGTGTAGATCCGAGCACTGCCTTCGGGGATTGATTTGCCGTCTTTGTAGCAGCCGGCGAAGCCGCTGTTGCAGAGGTTCAGCTGGAGTTCGACGAAGGAGGTGGTGGAGGGGTTGCCGGTGCGGCCGCGGCCGCTCTTGCGGGGGGCAGGGTCGTTTTGACGACTTCGCTGCGGAGCTGGATGGTTGAAGGTTTGGTGGGTGCGGTTGATTCGTCAGGTGGACGGGCTGTGACGAGGGAGAGGAGACTGAGACAGAGGAGTGCGACTTGGAAGAAGCTCCAGAAGGTATTGGAATACATTCTGAACTGAGGAGAGGAGAAAACCGCTGCTGAGTTCGAGGATAACGAAAGGCTAGCCGTCTTTATATTGGAGATTCCGTACCTACATTTACGTCCCCTTGGCCGATGACGGCTCTTCTGCTTGAATGAATAGGACCTGCATTGCGCCATCGCGTTTCAAGTTGCGAGAACTCGCATTAGGCTGACTATCAACAGGACAGACACTCAGTGTTGATATTAGGAGGACCACGTTGGTACTCGGGTGCCTCGTATTCGTTACTATTTCTGTACGGCGAAGATCTGCCTCAAACGGAGCCTTGCTAGCTCCTGTGCTGCCTCTCGAATGCTTCTTGGAAGCTGAGTTTGCCGACAAGATCGTAGACATAGTAATCGAGCCACAAAACGTTGTAGCATCCAGACCTAGCAGGTAAGAACATGAGAGGAAACTCCCCTAGGGCATCGTCGCGCGACATTGGTAAACAGTGGATCTAGAGATTGAGTTGTTTGTTTCTTCCAGAGAGGCTCAGGAGTTCGGCAGGGGGAGCCTCGACTAGCGTACCCCGCTGACGATGGACGAATTGAGTTGCTACCCCACCGCTTGTATGAGTATTATGTATTTATTGGCTTCCACAAAACCTCTCAATCCGGGTGGTTGGCGCAATGGTAGCGCGTTGGTTTTCGGTTATCGGAAGACACCAAAGGTTGTGGGTTCGAGCCCCATGCTGCTCGTTTTGCCTTTTGCAATATTCTGCTGCTTGTTTTGCGGTTCTACGCATCCTACCGTGCTGTAGCTTCGTTTTGGCGGTAGTTTGGACTCTGTATGGACTGAGATGGTGAACTGGCGGCAGATTCAGACCCTGGACTGGCCGGCCTTGGCGTCCACGAGGTTCCTTGAGCAGCCTCATGCTGCTCGTTTTACCTTTCGGCATTCCTTTTGCCTTTTCTATTACATCTCTTACCTTTGTCTGCGCCTATAACGGAGTAGATCGATCTTTTGTGGCGGTGTTGGCTCCGTAACGGGTTTTCAACGACATTTCTAGACAGCCTGGTCACACTACAGAGCCTGATCATGTACCAGCACCATCGAGCTGCATGGAATGTTGCTCGGGAGCCGATGTACATATCAGTGACCAAATCCTGGATCACAATCGTGGTTAGTGCTGCTCGTCCGGCTAAGTTACGCAGAAGCGAGCGGGCAAGCGCGGGTCAAAAGCATGGCGAGTTTGGTATCATTGCACAGTCATAGCACGTCACTCTTGACAAACCCTCTGAAGTCTCTGGAAAGCATGCTACTGCTTCCTAGCTACCCAGAAGGACGGTCGATAGATGTTCATCAACATGCTCCTAGGATCTTGGATATACCCCGTAGCGATCTTTCCAACCTCATGCTTCTCGATCTTGAACCCGAAGCGCTCAACAAGTGCGACCACCTCATCGTCTGTAAGCTCCATCGACCCCGGCTCTGCGATGCCCTGGTCTTGCGCCCGGCCGTTAGCTTGGCCATTTTGATACGCCCCGCCGGTTGCCTCATTGTCATTGCTGCCGGGGGTTGTTCTCGAAGTGCCAGAGTAGTGGTCCTAGGTTTATCCAAATCCCGCCGGTTTTCAGACAGTTGCGGATCGTCTCAATGTAGGCGATCAGATTGGGTGCCGTGTCGATGAAGAAGACCGTCGTGACTGCGTTGTATACTCCGCTGTTCTCCGCGTTCTTATACACGACGCAGAAGTCACCCGCAGACATGCTCATGCGCTCAGAGGCATGCATTCTCTTACCGATAGATGCCTCTTCCAGCGCGGCGGCAGGGTGTACGTCCGGTATCATAACTCCCTGCAGCTGATCCGCTCGGCTGACATGGTTCGAGGATGACAAGGCCCACGGGTACAACGGATACTGCTCCGCTCGAGTAATATCGTTGAGAATCATGTTGCTTGCCATGAGCTGGTGGTACGATATCTCGTTGCCCTCGACAGAGAAGCCGACGCAGCAGATTCCCATTACCAGGCGGCCGAGGCCTGCGCCTGGGACTAGGACATGGAGCTCGCCCTTGTCGGGGTCGGGGATGTGGGAGAACTCAGCTCTTAACGCTTCGAGGACCGGATCATAGCAAGCCGCACGCTCGGCCTTGCCTTCGGCACTCAATCTCGGTAGAGTTGCCGAATGGTGCTGCGCGCTTTGTCGAGATCCATCTTAGTGGTTTTGCCCTTCCATGGCGGATCCCTTCCGTGGTGGTTGGCATCCTCTGAGTTCCTATTGGGTGCTTCAGTGTGCACTTCGGCACTTTCATCAGCGAAAGACTCGGCCCCGACACGGAGTATCGCTTCCGCAATGTCAGCGTTGGCATCGATAGCATCATCTACGGCCGAGAGTGAATCTAGCAGGGAGAACGGCGGCTCGGCAAGTAGGGTCCAGTGAGCGGATGGGAGCGCGTAGAAGGATTGCCGGCGGAGATGTGTGACGTTGTAGTGAGCGGCACGGCGGTAGGAACTTTGTACGATCTTAGTGATAAGGATTATGAGAGCAGATATTGTAGAATGGTATCACATGCCGGAAGCTATATTCTACTCTGAGGACTTGGACTGCCAACCAGGACAAAAGTGGGAAGATATCAAAGTACGAGATTCTCGTCCACTGTTGGACACTTTGGGAAAAACTAGACATATGAATGAGGCGATGAGAGTAACGTACGCGAAGGAGTCCAACACTGAATAGATGACTCTTCTCTCCTCCGGATCAGCAAGGGGATCAAATTCATCTTCTGTCCCTGAGGCCATCCTGTTTACCCATCAACATGCCCACACTTGATAAGAGGCTTATTTAAATGCTAACGCCTTAAACGTAAAATACCCTCGACCTCTTCAGTATCGATGGAAGTTGAGATACATCTATCGGCTGATGTTCTGCCCTTGAACCCTTACGTCACATATATACAACTCACTACAATTTTTCACCCGCGAAGCAAGCCCGATGAGCTATAGTTCATCGGCGTAATGAAGCATCTTTCGCTAGGGTTTGAGTACTCTGTAGGGGAAGTACGTTTGGTACTTCATGAATTGTGGTGGAGAAGATGACTAATCACTGATCGATGAAGCTTCAACATCAGACGAAGCACCACAACAGCACCAAATCTGAGCGAGGCCGTAATGGCTTCAACAATCACTAATGGCACCGAGAGCGCCTCAGTGAAACCGGTCCAGCTCTCATTCCCGCTTCCGCGCTCTCCCCAAACCCGGATCCACATGCATCTCACCGTCCTGACGACTTCCATCCTGCTATTCCTCACAACAACAGCGGCCGACGCGTCAAGCGGTGGCAGTCCCATGGGTAGCTTCGTCTATGCTATGCCAAATGTATGGAGCCTTACACCCCCGCCTATCGTCCATTCGTAGCACCGCATGTCGCTAACGAACAGTTCCAGCGCACCTCCCCCACCGCCCAGCCCCTCAGCACAGCCCTCTACACGCAGTCACAAACCCTAGACTTCGCGACCCGCCTCGCCAAGATCCTCGCTCGCCGCACTGGCAAACCAACGTACGTTGGTAACTCGATCTCCTTTGCTGGTGCCGGCCTCGGGGGAACTGTAGAAGAGGAGATGGAGGGTATGGGCAAGGTCGTTGAGGTCGTGCTTGCTGAAGTTGGGAAAGCGAGTGCGCAGGAGGATGGGACATGACTGGTAAGGCTCGTGCTTATAAGCCTAGTGGATGGGGCCTTTCTTCGAGTACCCTATCACTCCGACAGATGACGAGGATGCTTGGCCAGCTGTCTAATACCTACGACCGAGCGTCCGGCTCCCAAGAATGCTACGATATATCCGCCGCCGCGACCCGTATGATGTCGTTGAGACAGGGAAGCACTGAGTAGTTGAGGTCCGTATTTTCCAGCTTGATGGGCCAAGATGTGCGCACCATGAACGCTGGAGTCTCGTCCACGTTTGCACTACGAAGGTGCAAGATTCCTCACACTACGTCTGCCGTGGGTGGGCTAGACGAACGGTGCAAGTAGATCTTGTGTTCATGTGTAGTCACTTCTACATCTCTTGATGCTCTTCAGGGTGCAGTGCTCTGACCTGGTGCGGGTAGGAGTGGAAGACCCGGTTGACGGAGATATTGGACATTCGGTGTGGCGAGCTCAGCTTGTCAAACACGGTATGGCATAGAACGATGACCGGGTTCACTGCGAATTGTGTTGTTGTGACATGAATCATTGCGTTGGCTGTCAGGTTTCTAGTTTACAGCATCAAAACCCCAGCACTGAAAACTATCGCCCATAGCCTCGGAGCCTGCTGATTGCAGTTCGCTCCCGACTTTCCCTCCATAACCGTCCTTACATGTTGTCAAGACGCTCCTTGGCGCTGTCCTTAGCCTCCTGAGAGGTGTTCGGGTTGCTGATGGTAGCCTTCAGGCCGCCAGCACTGGAATCGTGTCAGCAGTATGCCGAGATGAGTGTTCATGCGGAAGATACATACACGTTGTTGGGGTTCTTGCCCTCAGTAGAGCCAGAAGAAGAAGAAGACGAGGTATCAATATCGCCGCTGTTGGATGCCTGCTCAAGGACCTCCTTGGAGTGCTGCTTGGACTCCTCCGAAGTGTCTGCACATCCGTCAGCAACTGGGCAGGCACGAGGGATAGAAAGACGTCGTACTGGGATTGTTGAGGTTGGCCTTGTGGCCGCCGATGACGTTTCCTGGGTTGGCCATTTTGGTTTTGGGTGGATTGGAAAGATGAGCTGTTGGGGAGATGTGCTTGTTGTAGTTGTTGAGGCTGTTCACGATGTTGATGATGGCTTGAGAAGAGAGTGGAGAGGGTTCTTATATATCTTGCACCTATCCGTCCACTCTGATGGGCTTGAAAGATCGAATGGTACTTCCGTCAGTGGCTGGGCAACAGCCTGTAAACACTCCCCGTGCTCGCTCTGACTCCTTCAGCGGCTGTGACACAATAGACGTTTGAGAGGATCGGATGACAACAAGAGAAGCATCAGCGGTCAGGAAACTAGCTCCGCAGCGGAAAAGATTACCACGGTTCAGCTGCTGAGAACCAACAGATGGACCACTGAGCACGAGGTAAGCACACCGCTGGTGCCTGGCCTAAGCCTCCTACAGCAGCTGGAAGAGGTCATAGTGCACATTTACCGAAATGCCATGCGTCAAAGGCTGACAGCAGGATCACTAAACGTCTGAGCATGACGGGGAGACAGCAATTGAGAGGAAAGGATCAACAGACACGCAAAAGCCATGAAGTCAGTAAATATGCAATAGCCCAGGCAGCGCTGCAAGGCTTGCATGGAGCTGGCGGCGCATGGGAAAGCACGGCAAATGCCATGGCTCAAATCGATCTCAGATCGATCTCGGGTTCCTGCGCATGGCCGATCTTGGTGGCAGAATTCAGACAGGAGGCTGGGGGTTGGACGGCGGGGAAGCGGCTCGTGTGGAAGTCGTTGACGTCTGACATCTGAATCGCGGTAACGCATTGGCACGGGATCTCGCGCCACGGCCGTGCGTTTCAAGCCAAGGATCTCTGGCTGACCTCCATCCTCGAATGCCATTGACTATGCCATGAAAGCCACGGTAATTGAGAGACAGTACTGGGGAGCAGCCTGGCTTTCTCGTTGGATCAGACTTAGTGATGTGATTTCCGAGCGTGCTAACGAAACAACTAATCGAACAGCTTTCCAACGGCTAGTAATATCCTCACCATCTACACCTTCGCCTCAAGGTCCGCAGACCAGGCATA